CATGTAAAACTATATATATTACATATAAAATGTTAAATATTTCTCATTGTTTAGTAATGTTAAATGTTTCTCATTACTAATCATTTATAAGAAAATAAATGATAAAAAATGTATGTTATTAGTAGATTTTGTTGATATGTTATCTCAATTAACTTAATTATTGGATTTTATTTTTAGCTACTGAATATCATTTAGGATTATTAAAAGCAAAACTTGCAAAATATAGATCACAACTTTTAGAACCACTAAAGAAATCAGAAAAAGGAGAAGGATTTGATGTATTAAAGTCAGGAGATGCAAGAGTAGCTTTAATAGGTTTTCCTTCTGTAGGAAAGTCCACTTTGTTAAGTACATTAACACATACAGAATCTGAAGCAGCATCTTATGAATTTACTACTTTAACTTGTATACCTGGTGTTATTGAATATAAAGGAGCTAATATTCAGCTTCTTGATCTTCCTGGAATAATTGAAGGTGCTGCACAGGTATATTAAGTTTCAATTAACATATTATAAAATTTATGTTAAATATAATAGATAATTTATCAAGTTTTTATATTTGTTGACAAATATTTAAGGGTAAAGGAAGAGGCAGACAAGTGATAGCTGTTGCAAGAACAGCAGACCTAGTTCTTATGATGTTAGATGCTACTAAACAAGATGTACAAAGACAACTTTTAGAAAAAGAATTAGAATCTGTTGGCATACGACTTAATAAGAAAAAACCAAACATATATTTTAAAGTAAAAAAGGGAGGTGGACTGGCATTTAACTCAACATGTCCATTAACAAAAGTAGATGAGAAATTAGTTCAAATGATTTTGCATGAATATAAGATTTTCAATGCAGAAGTTTTGTTTCGTGAAGATTGCAGTGCAGATGAGTTAATTGATGTGATTAATGCCAATAGAGTATATTTGCCATGTCTTTATGTACATAACAAAATAGATCAGATATCAATAGAAGAAGTGGATAGAATTGCTAGACAACCTAACAGTGTAGTAGTTAGGTAAAATTTGTGTATTCTTAGATATTGTATGAAAAGGTTGTTTTTATAAAAAAAGTTCACAAATATTTACATGTTTAAACTAAAAATTATGAAATAATTATTACAAAGTACTTCACATATTTCTTACAGTTGTAATATGAAATTGAATTTGGATTTCTTACTTGAAACATTATGGGAATATTTATCTTTAATAAGAGTTTATACAAAAAAACCTGGACAACCACCTGATTTTGAAGATGGTTTAATATTAAGGAAAGGTGTTACTGTGGAACACGTGTGTCATGCTATTCATCGCACACTTGCTCAACAATTTAAATATGCTCTTGTTTGGGTAAGAATCATTTTCATTGTATAGCAAGATTTTTTCAATATTCTTGGTCTTTATTTTTACATTTACTGTTTAACACGTTCACTGTCCAGGCCTTTAGCGTAGTTTTTACTCGTACGTCCTCGTTTACTCAGTCTAAAGATCCGTCTTTTCACATTGTTTATGCAATATATCGTCATGCTTTCTTCATTTTTATAATAGCAATCAGTCGTGATGCACGGCCATCTAATCTAACAAGTTAGTTTTTTCTAAGAATTGCATCTGAAGAAGTGCTATGAAGAAGTATAATGTTGTTTCTTAATTTTTGTTCCCAACTAAAACAAAATGCGAATAAAAGAAAGATGTGAGTAGTTGACCGATAAATGATAAATAAACAAGGTTTTTTTTCTATTATATCAGTTTTATTTCACATATGTCTTAAATAAAATTCATTTAACACTGACTGTACGTTTGTAACAAATGTTATGCATGGATATAACAAAAACGAAGACTGTACGTCACATATGATGCACGGAATAGTGAATGTGTTAAAATATTTCAATATAAATTCAAAATTCTTTTTATTTGAATAAAACAAATATTATATATTGATGCCTACAAAAATAATAACAGAAAAAAAAACGTAGAATATTATAGTATTCTAGAAAGCATACATTTTTACAGATTACATACAAAATTCAATTCAAAACACTTAACTAATAATCAGTCGACTTTAATTCAATAATTGAATTCTCTATTTTTTATTTTTTCACACAACATAGTTAAAAACAAAATAAGACCAAACCTAATATAAAAATTAATAATTGAAAATGAAAAAGATAATTTATTTAAATGAAATTTACTGTAAAATGTTTAAAGAAACGAAAAGAAAATTTTATTGACAATATTTTAAAATTGTTGTGTTTTAATAATGGACATTTTTCAGGGAACAAGTACCAAGTATTCACCTCAACGAGTAGGACTACAACATGTTATGCATGATGAAGATGTTATTCAAATAGTTAAAAAATAAAGTTTATAAAGTTGCATAAATTATCTGTGAAAATCTAAAAATTTAGTGAAATGAAATTTACTGTAAAATGTTTAAAGAAACGAAAAGAAAATTTTATTGACAATATTTTAAAATTGTTGTGTTTTAATAATGGACATTTTTCAGGGAACAAGTACCAAGTATTCACCTCAACGAGTAGGACTACAACATGTTATGCATGATGAAGATGTTATTCAAATAGTTAAAAAATAAAGTTTATAAAGTTGCATAAATTATCTGTGAAAATCTAAACAGAAAAAGTAGAGCATTATATAGTTTTCTTTACACGTTTATATGTATTCACTTAAAAAAAAGAAGAAGAAAAGATGAAAAAGATTCTCTTTTATGACTTCAATTCAAATGATAATTTAATATATATTTATTCATAATATTATATTTGTATCAGATCATCATTGTGTGTTTACATATATATAAATACACACACACACACACACACACAAGGTACTTTCCTAGATGGAGGAAAAATAATACATAAATCAACTTAACCAATGATATTTATTGTATCCTAGGGAAGATAATTTGACTGTACATAATAAATAAATAAAACACCATTTAAAAAATGATCATAAAACTTATTTCATGTTCTAAATTTTCATTTTACTTTTGCTTAAATTTTAATTGGTTGACAACGAAATGCAATGTTTATTTTATTTTGCAATAGTGAATTTGATATTTTACAACTACATTTCGAAATCTATGAAATTTTAAAAACAAAATAACTAAAATTTGATTTCTTTGTTGACAAAAATACTTTATATACTAAAATATAATAAAAATTGCCACAGCCAAAAAATTGTAAGTATTATAAACTTAAATGAAATTAAATATTACGTCATATGAAAATGTATCTTATAATTTTTTTGCATCAATCGTTCATTTTATAACTGCCTTAACAATGGTCAGTTATTCGTCAAATGTATACTGAGATGCATCGATTTTTGCCGATTCCCTAGAACTAAACAAACGCAAGCGACAGTGATCCTATGTGAAATGGTATACGATTCGATAATGACAAATGGTGTACGATCTATATGAAAAGTCATTCGCTATCGTATGCCATTTCACATAGAACCACTGCCGCTATGCATTTGTGTTAGTTCTAGGGATTCGGCAAAGATCGATGCACCTCAGTGTACTTGACCTTCGAAAAATTTGACAGCAGACACCTCAAGCAGGCAATTAAACACAGGCAGACAAAATAGTGAAAATGGATTTCATTCTTATTTTGTTATGATTTTACTTAAAGGTAGAAAAACCGTCGACGAAAAAACGCTACAAGGAAGCGTCGTCAACATGCAAAAGGAAGTTGATATTAAGTGCAGTATGGTTTGATTTACAAAAAAGATTCATTAAAAAAGTTTGTCCGTCCACGGATCCTAAATACAAAAAACGTTAAAGGGGCGATCAGTGCTTATAGGTTTGCTTGCAGTATGCTTAGGGTTTGTAATACAGGGATATTATGGCTGCAGGTGAGGCCAGTACAGCAAAGTCTCGTCAAGAAAAACAATACGATTACCTCCTCAAATTTCTGTTGGTGGGTGACAGTGACGTTGGAAAGCAAGAAATCTTGAGTGGACTTGAAGATGGTGCTGCCGAATCTCCGTTTTGCAGTGGCAGTGGTATTTCTTTTTAAATTGGTTTTTCATATTATTATTTTATTTTAGACTAACTTTTTGGTTTTTCTTTAACTTTGGATAACGTACGTTCGTCGTGCTCATTTAACCTTATTTCGTTTACTACATAACCAATATTATAAAATACAATATTAGTTACTTAGTACTCGTAAGTTCGATAGCAAGTTTCATTAATTCACATGAAAGGTAAATATTTCAGAAATTGTTTACTGTTATTCATCTCTGATTTATTTTGAACTATGTATGGAATATGAATGAAATGTAATAAAATACTACTTTGTAATATATAATTTTGTATTATCCATTTGATGAAACTACTTCACAATT